CCCCCCCACCCCCCCCACCCCACACTCCTCCTGCCGTCCACCACTACTTCTTACTTGACTGAATGTAAAAGCCCTTTGCATCGACATGGAACGCTATTATTATCTTGGCTTAGTTTCTGAACAGTCTAACTCGGTTTCTGAATCGACTGTTTTGGTTTCTGAATCGGCCGTTTTGGTTTCTGAATCGGCTGTTTTGGTTTCTGAATCGGCTCTTTTGGTTGCTGAATCGGCTCTTTTGGTTTCTGAATCGTAGTTGCTGAATCGCCTGGTTTGGTTTCTGAATCGGCTGTTTTGGTTTCTGAATCGGCTGCTTCGGCTTCTGAATCGGGACTCGCTTGGTTTCTGAATCGGCCCGTTTGGTTTCTGAATCGGCTCATTTGGTTCCTGAATCGGACCATTTGGTTTCTGAATCGGCTGTTTTGGTTTCTGAATCGTAGTTGCCTGATCGGTTGGTTTCTGAATCGGCTAATGACCTTCTTCAAGGAAGCTCCCCCTGCTCTCAGCCGGGGGAAGCTTCCTTGAAGAAGCCTGAGCCCCAGCCTGCGTCCAAGCATAAGAAGTCTCTTGTTTGCTTAGTCGCTTACCTATCTAGTTCCTCCTCTTCCGGCCTACCCCACCCCCAAAACCTTTAAAACTTGAAGACAAAAACAAATAGATCCTTCAAAAGAGGTTGTTGAAAGTCCACTCTGCACGCCCTCCCTCCCTCTCCCCTCTGTTTTCCCCAGCGATGGTGCACACTGCGCACCTTTCTTCTACGAGTTATAGAAAAAGACTGTGCCGCAGAAGAAGATTAACATATATAAGCGACTTGACTCCATCCATGGCGGCAGGGCAACATGTTATTATACAGCCATTCTGGACTGGCACGCCGACGTGCCAATGGCAACACAAGTCATGACACCGCTCCAACGCTGGAGACAAGCTTCAAGACAGCCAGACCGTGGCCACCAAACACACTGGGGGGACACAAGCTCAAGTTTGAAACAGGCGCTCGCTTTCGGCTGCAAACTTCTGGTTTTTAAGGAAGTATATAAGAACCTCTATACATTGCTTCCAGCTTTCTCTGGGAGTCAAAATCAGAGGAACACGTCCAATAATACAATTGCATACAATTGCGTCACTGCCCTTCGAATGACGAGTGTCTGAACTTCGGTGGGAGCAGGCTCTGTTAGTGCCCACTCATACCAAACCTTCACAACACAAAGTGTTGCAGGTGCATCATCACTGCCTCTACTTTGATCAAAAAGCCAAAAAGCTCTTTCCATAGTGTTCTTTCAGTATGCTGCTTGTCAGTTCACTCTTGGATGGTGTGTATTTGTACTGGGCACCTTGTGCGCATCGTGCCGGCGCCACCAATGACTCCTGGTGCAAAAGCTATATGTCCATAACAGATAGCGTCCTTGTTACTACTAGTAAGGCACTTGTTACTAGTAGCGTCCTTGTTACTAGTAGCGTCTTGCAACTCCGTAAGATGGAGTCCACGAAACTGTGATTGCGTCCTGATGATGCTTCCTCTCGGCACATACTGCGGATGTCGCAAGGGGAAGAACATGGGAAACCAGCTGAACATGCCCACCTTAGACAATACACCAGTCATACCTGGCTCGAAGAGGCCCAAATGAAGGCCTTATGAACCCAAAGTACAGAAAGGGCTTCTCAACTTCCCAAAACATCCCAAAACTTCCAAGATCGTTGCCGAGAAGTTCTTTGGGTGGATAGATATGTGCTCCGGGCCATACAGGACCTCAATGACCACTAAAAGGAATGCAGGAATTCTGCTATATCTATTTGGACAAATCAGTTTGCGCTAGGTGGCTGACGCAATCAAAGTATCCAGCAAAGCCATGCACAAGTGAATCCACCTCAAGGCATCAATGCAGAGGAGTGAAGATTTCTTGTGTGAATCAAAGAGAATATATCTTATGTGACTCTTCCTGCTAGGAAGTTTAATATAGTATATAGTTTAATTGGTTTAAAGATATGCTTCAAAATCCACATGATCCTGTTTGGGGGTCGGCGGATACTCTCAGCTTCATAACACAAAGCAGCTCAGGTTCATCAAGGAAGCTTCTCCCACCGCGGAGAAGCTTCCTTGACGCATCGAAACGGATTTGGGAAACGAACAGAGAAAATGAGAGTACTAACAAATAAGGAAAAAACGAATTGAAAAAAAATGTGTATATATATATATATGTATATATATATATGTAACTGGACTGAAAATATAGAAGAATACATTATATAAGAAAATGTATTTGTGTATATATAAAGCAGAGAAAGGAAAAGAGAAGAGAAGAATATAGGATAGGTAAGGATAGGTAAGGACCCCTTTGATAAGTGCCCCTGAGGCCATCAAGCATATCAATCCTGGGTCACAGTGAGCTGCCTCAATCTCAAAGTCCAAATCCACGCATCTGTCGTTGCTCTCCATGGTCCAGTTTGGATGGTGGAACTCGAAGCAGTCCTGCATTTCAGCCGCACAAATGAGAGTGTTAAAATCTATGACTGAAGCCCCTGCAGCATCTTGGCTTCTTTGAATGAGCAAACGTCAGGTCCATGCACCCATGCGCACCCAAAATTAGGGATTTCCAAGTTGTTCAGCAAAGCAGCGTCTGGCTTCTATTTTACAGGTCTGCAAAGACCTCTTCAAGCACAGTTTGCCTTGCCAGTTAGATGTGAGACAAACAACTCCCAGCCCTGCATTGGTAGTCGTTTTGGTAGTCCTTGACAGCACTGCATGGGTAGAATGCATGCTGCATGTGCACCACGTAAGCAGTCTGGCCGAACTCGTCAGATGGAGTCTGGAGTATGTTTCACTACTTGGACTCGCATCCCCCACCTCCAAATCAGCTACGCCTCCACCTGCTGCTCCCTGTCTCGCATTTGCCCACAACCCTGGTGCTGTTACCGGCGTCAATGCAGCTGTGTAGCCTCGTGAAGCCACCAAAAAAGAACAAATGGCCTGACTGATGTCAAAGTTTGATGAGCGGTCGAGTCGAGTTGCTGATTGGTATGCAAACACCATCTGAAGCCAAGAAGCGCTGCCTGCACTGCCAAACCAAAGCAAATGGATCCACAATGATCCACAAATGTTTATATTATGAGTAATCCAGCCCAAATCGTGGTTGAACCGAGCTCGCCACTGCAAACTATACTGTAACTATACCAACATAGACCCCACACAGTTTCAGCAAGAGTTGTTTGCGTCAGTTCCTTCAATTCCAATGTTGGTGGAACCGTCTGTAATTATGTAGCCTCTAGTTGTTTGGGAAAGGATGTCAAATGTAAACGTGTTTTTTAAGAACAGGATTCTCAAAAAAAACTGAAACGCTGCTTCACTGTTGCATTCATAGCCACAAGAAAACAAACCCCCGGACAAGGCGATACAAGGCAGTGGATAAAGGGAAAACGGGGGGGTCAAGCAGGGTACAAGACGCAGACAGGGAAAAGGGCCGACAACCGGACAAGGGCAGACAGCACGGCCACGGCTAGCGTGGCAGCCATTTGTTCGTAAGATAGAACAGT